TTATCAACTTTCTTAAAGGCAGTAGGAACACATACAGCTGAAAGGTTACAGATAGGGCTGAAAAAGGTTGTGTATATAATGTAAATCTAAATTTTTTGTTCAAGAACACTTAGAAGTGGACTTCAGGCAATGAAAATGATAATACCGTTCCTTTTAAGGGTTCAGAAGGTCACAGTGATGTCTTTTCCAGAAACCTATGAAGAAAAGCACCAAGAAAATTGTTATAGGCTACTCTTACTTATCTATTTCTGCTTGCATTTCAACGTTTCATGGCCTGGCTAAGAGCTTGAGCAAACCATTGCCTAGCAACTCAGCTCAGCTGAATGCAATTTCCTCTCTACCAAGGACTGCGCTTTAAAACTCATTTGAATTATAAAATAGACATTTTAAAAGGAAGAATCATGCCATTATATGTGAACAGACCAGGTATTTAGTCACATCATTACAAAATAAAATAAACAGGCTACTATATATTTTATTAAAGCCCCCGTTTAGAAAAAAAGTCCATTACAATGTACTTGAAATAAACATGAACTGATATAATATAAAGTATTTAAAAAAGCTAAACTTATTTTATTTCAGGTAGTTTAACATTTTTGTTTAGTTTTAGTTTTGCACAATAATTTACTTTTACATAATAAAAAAAATAGTTTAACACAATGTACTAAAATAATTAAACTGAAATAAAAATTCCTAACATAAAATAAAATAAAAAATCCTATGAAATAATAATAAAAAAAAAAAAAAATTATAAAAATGACTAAAACAAAATTACTAAAATTTTGAAAAAAATGTAATGGACAGAGAAAATATAAAAACAAATTAAAAATGTAAATAAAAACGATGATAGCATCCAAGTGATCAAACATACAATACATATAGTGCAAAAATATCACAGTATTTAAACTGATGAAAGATAGCACCAGTTGCATTTTATATGAAGCATGAGAGAGCAAGTCTTTGTTACGCTGAAGACCACATTGCTTCAGGTAATGGCAAATATAGGAAATACATTATCAGACCACCAGTTGCCATGATTGCCCAATAAGAATAAACTATTTAGAGAGTTGTGATGTTATATTGTGAACTGGTAGATTCGGAACATTTGAAATTATGTATCCATTAAAAATATTTTGCTTAGTTTATAGGTTACCATTCCTAGGGCACTATAATTTACTTAATTCAGCATTTCTTTTGAAAGATATGAATGTTCATATGTTGATATAAACTGGCTGAACATCGCTACGCTCTAAAAAATGCGCTGAGTTAAAAAGGGACAAACCCAGCTATTGGGTTGTTTTGACCCAGCGGTTGGGTTCAAAACAACCCAACCGCTGGGTCAAAACAACCCAATAACTGGGTTTGTCCCTTTTTAACCCAGCACAAGGCTATATTTAACCCAGCAATTTTTAGAGTGTAGTCTTACTGTGAATGATTCATTGTTGAATGGTATTCCAAAAAAAAAAAAAAAAAAAAAGTTAGACATTTTTTGAGAAAAAAATGTGTAAGCCTGTGTATTAGTGATTTATGTGAACCCCTTCAATGATTATTTATTCATATTTGCATCCAACACTCTGCAGTCAAATAATCTGTGTGTTTCATGAACTGTAACATTTTCTTCTTTGTGTTCTCGTTCTAATTTGCAGGGTATTATTTCTTGTGCATTTCTCATTTTCTTTTAGATTATGCATTTCTCAGTGTGGTTCCTAACTTATTGTAAAAGAGGAACTAAAGTGTGGCAAGGCAACGTTTTTTTGCCAGCATTGTGCAGTCAGTCATATTTAATTGAGCCCTGGAGGAAGTTGGACTCTAAGAGCATTTCCATTTGCTTTTTTTGCCAAATATTTGCATAGATTAAGTGTAAAAAAAAAAAAAAAAAAAAGTGTATCAAATTAAGTTTTGTTTTTTGGTTTAAACCTATTATTTCTAGAGAGATTTTGCACATGATAGTTGCCTATCTATAAATGCAACACTTTTGTTGTGCCTCTGAGGTGGGTTAATTTAGCATGTTAAATAATAATCTTGGCTCCTGTGAGACTAGCTAACTCCAATACGAGCATAATCAACACCAACAACACAACCAAAGCAAAGCAGGGGTATTATGTGTCTTGAAACGGAGTCCTATCCATGGGCTGTACTATGCAAGGCTAGTTGGAGAATAACAATAGCAGGCTGTTTGTCACTTGTCTTTTGTGACAGTACCTGCTCTCCCAGGTGATTCATTCCTTCCTTGGACCATATTTTTCAGCCATCTCAGGCGAAAGTGGCAGAGAATGATGAAAAAGGTTGTGCGGCCTTCATATTTCTACAAACTTCGCAGTTCCTGCGCAATATTGGTTGTACAGAGTAAATAAAAATGTCTTAAAGGATTCATCCAAAAATGAAAATTTGCTGAAAATCTAATTGAAAACCCTCAGGCCAGTTTGTTTCTTCATCAGAACAGCTTTGGAGAAATGTAGCATTAAATCACTTGTTCACCAATGGATCCACGGCAGTGAATGGGTGCCGTCAGAATGAGAGTCCAAACAGCTGTTAAAAACATCACAATAATCCACAAGTAACCCACACGTCTTCAGTCAATCAATTACCATCTTGTGAAGTGAAAAGCTGCATGTTTGTAATAAACAAATCCATCAAGGCAATTTACATCAAACCATTGTTTTTGCCAAAATACAATCCATAATCTATAAAAATGCTTCCTCCAGTGAAAAAGTCCATCCCCTGTTGTCCTCTCACATCAAAATCCACCAACATATTTGTTCAGAACTGTTTTGGCTTGTAAATGGTGCTTGATCTGTGCATATTTCTCTCCTGATTCAGACCAGGCGTTTTTTTTTTCCCCGTCTTGATGTATTTATTACAAACATACATTTCGCTTCATAAGACATAAATTGGTGGACTGGAGTCATGTGGATTACTTGTGAAGCATTGTGATGTTTTTATCAGCTGTTTGGACTCTCATTCTGACGGCACCCATTCACTGATGAGCAAGTGATGTAATGCTAAATCTCTCCAAATCTGTTCTGATGAAAAAACAAACTCATCTACATCTTAGATGGCCTGAGGGTGAGTTAATGTTCAGCAAATTTTCATTTTTGGGTGAACTATTCCTTTAAATAAAACAGCAGTCATGTCAATGTTTGCATGTTGAGAAATGCTTGTAATATTAGTTTCTGTGTGCGACAAAATATCCTTATAGAAAGTCAAATTATTATGCACTACTACAGCATAGAGTGCTCATACACAGTAATTCTAAAGGCCCACATGTATTTTAATTTTCAAAGCGTGATCATTGGCTCATGAATTTCAGATGCCTCAAAGCTGCATACAGACTTTTTAAATATCCAGCACATTATACTAGGAGAGATTTTTAATAGATGTTGTCCACATTGGATTGTAAAGAAATACATGAGCAGATTGTAAACATGGCACGTGTGCTAAGCTGTGAATCACAACTAGCATGAAAATAGCAAAGTACTTTTTTCAGACAACACTTTGCTTAATTTCTGTGGAGAGTCTGTTTTCTGTATATTATTATTATTAAAAACCTGTTTTTTTCTTAGTTGATTAATATTTAAGTTGAACTGAGTAACTTGAGTTTAAATATAATTTCTTGTGTTGCATAATTTTTTACTGTTTACATTTTGCTGAAAAGCTTATATAGTTTCATGACATATTCCATATGTGTTAGAAAACACTCTCTGTCTTGAGAATGCCTCACCCCTCCTTTCTTTCCCTCTCCCTCTCACTCTCCCTCCTCTATCTGTTCTCTCTCTCTTGTATGGTGTTTTAATGTCTCTTACTGACATTCGAGCTATGCATGCGCAAATGTATACATTAGCTTTTCTTATTCAAATGTCTAAATAAGGACATGATAGCTAGGAATGAGGTTCGTGATGAAACCATGAAGATAGTTTAGCATCCTTCGCAAAAGTCTATTCCTAATATGTCCATGTTTTTCTGTTCATATGGCCATTTTATATAAACACATGTTCTTGGCCAAAGATCCTATATGTATGTCATCTATATCCTCATTGGTTAAAGGGTTGAAACTCCCCTCGACATATGCCTATATAATATCTTTGTATCTATGAATAAAGTTGAAGTATTGAGAATACATATGAATGTGTGTTTTCTTACTTCCCGGCCGTTATATCCACTTTGAGGGATTGAGAATATCTGAGGTGGCAAAGAGAATCTAGAGGGACCGTTGTTAATGATTTCTAACAATATGCATTTGGGGCATGTTATCACAAAAGGTGTGCTCAAAAAAACACCTCTCCGAAGAACTGTATTTTTATTTATTTATTTAGGCCTATTTATTTATTTATTTATACTGTAGCATATATTGTCTGTAAATAAAATGACTTTTTTTTTTATAAATAACCTTGAAAAATATTAACTGGATTTAAAGCGTGACAACTAGCCCATGTGATTTACATTAAATAGTACAAAAACTAACAATTGTTAAATATAATATAATATAATTTCATTATTTTTTATTTATTATCCATCCATAGTAGTGCTCAAAAAAACACCTCTCCGAAGAACCGTATTTTTATTTATTTATTTAGGCCTATTTATTTATTTATTTATACTGTAGCATATATTGTCTGTAAATAAAATGACTTTTTTTTTATAAATAACCTTGAAAAATATTAACTGGATTTAAAGCGTGACAACTAGCCCATGTGATTTACATTAAATAGTACAAAAACTAACAATTGTTAAATATAATATAATATAATTTCATTATTTTTTATTTATTATCCATCCTCAGTACCCTTCACATCAACGGTTTAGCTACATACGCTTAAAGTAAAATACTTTCAAGCACGAACACAATCAGAAACAAAAATAGAATAATATTTTATTTTAGGTCCTGTCCACCCACCTCCTGGGACATTTCCAAAATCACTTTTTCAACGACTTTCGCATTACATCACATCCAAAAGAAAAGAGCAGGAGGCGGAGATGAAAAGAACAGTGACCGACGGAACTGACGTCACTGGCATAATGTAAACTGTTGAGATGATCCATGGTAACAGACTCAGTGCAGCAACACCGCTCGCACAGACGCACGAACGGCATCCGACAGAAATGCCTCGAACCTGGATCGCAGCTGCACCGGCTCTCGCTTCTTACAAACGCGTTAGACGCGCCGTCGGCCTTTTAAACGCGACGCACCTGCCGGGAATCCAAAACATTTGATGTATTCCTTCTACAAATCTACTGTCAGTTCACAAGAAGCAAGGAAAGCAGCGAAATGTGCGGTTGAACTGCTGCTCATCTCAGCGCTTTCGCTTACTATTTCTAACAGACTACAATACGAGCAGATGATTTTAATCCGGATGAAATAATGACTCTTGTGGATTAACGCCTTCGTTGTCACTCTAGTTTTTGCCTTGTCGGGATCGAGGGATCATCTGCCTTTACCATTTGCCATTACAGTCTGTATATAACAGCCATAGTAATATAATATCGTGAAGATGGCGACTGGAGCGGGCTGGCAGCATTACTACAACCCCGCTGGCAGCACTTCGACGGGGAAATATAACAGCACCTCCACTTCTACATCCACCAGCACGTCCTTCCCGTCTGGGTTAACCCTCGAATACACGCAGGACCTCCATCTGAAGATGAGCAAGAAGATTGCACAGCTGACCAAGGTAATTTTGTGCGCGTTTTGGGGATGCGTAATGCCATGTGTGCTGTTTGAGCGATGCGCACTGGAGGTGCCACCGGAGACCCCTATCCAAATGACAACAGGCTGGCCTGCTATCCGGATTAACCCTAGAATACATAATGGGGTCAAAATTACCAGAAGGGGTGGACATTTTTATTAATAAAAACATTTAATTTCGTGATATGCCATGTGTATTTCACAAAAAGGTTGTATGAAAGTCTCACCAAAATCGTCATATTTCTTGGTTATCAAAATGAATAAGAAACTATATATAATAAATAAATAAAAACAATTATTGAATTAAAATGTAAACATAAAAACTAATTCAAAATAATAATAAAAACTGTAATAGTATCTCAATGATACTAAAATAACACTTGGTTATAGGTTCAGAAAAATATTGTCAAAAACTGTCAATATTATTTCATATAAATAAACGATAATAAAATAATTTTGTTTGTACTGGCTTAATCTTAAAAAAATACGTGATAGGCCTCTAATACAGTACAGTACCAGTCACATCTGACTGATTAATATCCCAAAAAAAAATACTGACAAATATATATTGTTCGTATGGGCCGGGCCAGACCATGCAAAAAAGCACAAGTGTGCGGCAAGAATGTGTACTCTTTAAATACTGTTTAAAAAGCATCCCTCTGTGCATCTCATGAGGTTGAGGGAAGCCCAAGGTTTGCAGAGTGACTTGAAAAGGTATTTTAATTTATTAACATTTTTGGAGACTACATAATTTCCACAATGAGAATTGAAAGTGATCATAATGAATGAGTGGGTGTGTCCAAATTTCCGACTGGTGCTGTTCCCTCAAAAGGAAGCAGTGCAAAATCTGCCCAAAATCCATCTTGTGTAAGATGTGCTTGGTCCTGTCTACAAGGATCATAGCTATATAATCTGCAAAGCCTGCTAGGCAAATTTGTATTTCTCACATAAACACATTAGTTATAGCTGAATTTTATCTATGAACCCAGTACGGGTTGTTTTGAACCCCTTTATGTGCTCTTGTGGTTTCTGGGACATGTGTTCTTTGGTTAAAGCTTGCTTAAATTCAGTTTGTATATGCTTAATGTCATCATACCTTTTTATTTTTTGGTTATTTTTTAGTAATAATTCGTCTTCCTGAAAATAGCTACACTGATCATATTTCATCCTCAGGTTGGACATTCACTTGCGTAAAATTGTGTATGTTACATTTGTGGTTTAATCTGTGAATCTGTGAATATTATCAACACCTGCTGTTTAGTATAATCCTCTTAGCCTGACTGAGATATGGGAATGGCATGTTTCCAAAGCCTGCTTCAGCTATTAATTTTCAGGTATTAGAGCCAGGGTTCCCACACTCATGGACAACCTGGAAATATCAGAGTTGAGTTTGCAGATCTGGAAATTTCTATACTGAATATTATTTTTTTATTTTTTATAAAATATTTCATGAGCTAGATATGAATGGTGTGTAGAGCTAAACTTGTTTAAGAGCCATAGTGATGTTCAGTTTGTGAGACAATCATTGTTCTGAGTTGGTTCTTTTGTAATGAATTGGTGAAACCGGTTTACAGAATGGTGCGATTCATTTGTTGATATAATGATTGAATCTCTATAGTGTCTGATTTGAAGATTAGTATTATAGAGATAATACATACACATACACAAAGCCTCTATTTTGTGGAAGGTCATCAGGTATTATTGTGCGCCAATTGCTTTTTTGAGTTGGTTCTTTTGTAATGAATTGGTCAGATTAGTTCTCAGAATGATTCATTAGCGAATCTGTCTTATTGTTTGTTAATATAATTACTGGATCTGTACAAGTGCCTGCTTTGAAGGTTAGTATTATAGAAAAAAAAATATATATACCTTCTTCACATACCCAAAGCCTCGCTCTATTACATGGGAGGAAAATAGTTATGAGTTGCTTGCTTCTCTTGTAAAGAATTGATTAAACTGGTTCACAAAATTGTCAGAATGATTTATTAGCAAAATTGTCTTCAATCGTTTATTGATATAATTACTGGACCTCTATAAGTGTCTGCTTTTGAAGATTAGTATTATAGAGCAATCAAATATAATGTCTTCACCCAAAGCCTCTATTCTGTGTAAGATTGTTGATTTTTATTGTGAGCCAGTTGTTCTTATGAATTGGTTCTTTCACAATGAATTGACTGAACTGGTTCACAAAATAGTCAGAATGATTCATTAGCAAATATGTCTTGAGTTATTTGTTGATATAATCACTATAAGTGCCTGCTTGGAAGATTAGTATTACAGAGAAATCAAATATAATATCTTCACATAACCACAGCCTCTATTCTGTGGAAGGTTGTCAATTTTATTGTGTTTTGTAATGTACTTGTAGAAGCAAGGTTCTGGCAAGCCTTGATCTGTGTTTGTTGTCTAACCATAAATAAAGAAACTGGATCAGGAATACAAAGTGAGCAACAAAATACATATTTTATTGAACCTGAGTCTTAACATTCATGTGTGTGACTTCATATTCCTTGCATCATAAATTACCATACAATTATTAAGTTCAGTCACAACCTCCAGAAGATCTGCTGGTTTATGACTGCCGTTCTTGCACATGCACAGTGACGCTGACTGAAGTTCATTCGTCCTTAGGGAGCTCGGGCTGCGCCTCATAAATGAGATTACACTGCTTTGGCTGAGTATTGATGTACCTGTCAGACTGTCATTAAACATGGACACCTGGGTCATTGCTTTTAAAGGATATGCGAGGCATGAGGAGTTGATGTGTCATCAAAAAAGTGCACAGAGGATTTTTGAATTTATGATATTTGCATTGCATCACATTACAATTCTTTGTGCTTTGTACTGGATATTTAGCCCATCCATACGTGTCATCTGTTTGTTGGTTGAGAAATTTTTTACTCAAAAATGAAAATGCTGTCATCATTTACTCTCCCTCATGTCGTTCCAAACTTGTATGACTTTTTCTTCATTTTATTTAAAAAAAATTTTTTTCCTATACAAAGAAAGTCAAAGTGGTCCTGTAATACAGTATGTGTGGTCTACTTGGCTTTCAAAGTATATTTGTGTTTTCAAAGTATATTTTTGTGTGTTTGGAGGAAGAAAGTAAATCAAATGATGACCATAAATAAAATAAAATAAAATTTAAATACAGTAAAAGTTAAATCAATCAATCAATCAGTCAATTTGGATACAAAACTTTGCATAGTTTTCATATTGTGCTATTGGATAAACCTTTTGCATTTCTGTGTGAAATGCACAAGGCAATTGAAATGAATAAAAATGACAACTCAATGTAAATTTAAAAGAATAGTTCACTCAAAAAATAAAAATTCGGTCATCATGACAGTAAAATAGGGCATTCTAAGTCAATATACTGCAGTATTTCCTATCTCAATCAGTAGAAAATATGGTTAACACCCGGTCATGCATGAAAAAAAAAATACCGTCATGTACCGTGAAACCGGTATAATTTTGAAAAATACCGTGATCTAGGTTTTTGGTCATACCGCCCAGCACTATGCAGCAGACATAACAGCGAGTGTCTTGCTGAAGTTTTATGCAGCTGGTTTGAGTAAAGCTGTAATGAGACCCCAAGATCCTGACTGCACAGTGTTTTAAGATAAACGTTTATAATTTTTATGTTTTCAACATTTTCTGCCTTCCACAGTTAAGTGCATTGTTAGTGCATTAGGACTTTGTCAGCCACTTCCTCATGTGGTGCTCAACGTAATTCGATAGACTCATAAAGCTGAAACCAGTCTCCCTGACTGGCCTTTTTCTCTCTGGTTATGGGTTACCTTGGCATCCACACTTCCCAGTCTCCAGATGGGCCCAGTCTGGATCTCACGGCCTCCTGATGGGTATCAATAAACTCCAGAAGCATCACGTCGCAATTCATTTACCCCCCACAGATTGTTTGTGCGAAAACATTTGATGCTTCTCACACAAATGCTCTTTCAGTAGCTGGCCTTCTGAGCTTTTTATATCTACACTGTAAAAAATGACCGTGAATTTAACGGTAAAAGACTAAAAATGCTACAGTAAAAACCTGTTAAATGGTTAACGGTAAATTCCCCTACTATATACGGTGAAAAACTGTATTGGACATTACATGTATTGGACATTAATCTCGATTCCATTTCGATTTATCGTGCAGCCCTAGCCCATATACAGTTGAGCGAATCTGCAAGATAAGACATAAAATTGCATTTTGTGCCCTGATTTAAGCTATTGCACAAAACAAAATAACTTTGTTGATTTTTTATATTATAAATTTAAGCAAGGGGGGTTATAAACTTAGGGTTTACAAACTCACTTAACTGTATAGATATTACATTTTAATGGCCCATACTTTGTATATTGGCCATACATATACAAATATAAGGATTCACTACTATTTTAAATGTGGCTGTAGTAAAGAAATATTCCCCAATCTACTCTGTACAATTGTCAAACCAGTATCATTTTCTTGAAAAATGTTGCCCTAAGTGAGGATTTTAAATCAAGCTGCTATGCAGACTCTTACAGAATAATCTGTATTATTAGAGAATAATGTAGCCATTGAAAATCAATAAATCTAATAAGAAATACATAACACAGCTATGATTCGCCAGTTGAGACAAAAATAGGTCAAGCTTGGCTTTATCCCTTGGATATACAGTGGGTACGGAAAGTATTCAGACCCCCTTAAATTTTTCACTCTTTGTTATATTGCAGCCATTTGCTAAAATCATTTAAGTTAATTTTTTTTCCTCATTAATGTACACACAGCACCCCATATTGACAGAAAAACACAGAATTGTTGACATCTTTGCAGATTTATTAAAAAAGAAAAACGGAAATATCACATGGTCCTAAGTATTCAGACACTTTGCTCAGTATTTAGTAGAAGCACCCTCTTGATCTAATACAGCCATGAGTCTTTTTGGAAAAGATGCAACAAGTTTTTCACACCTGGAATTGGGGATCCTCTGCCATTCCTCC